ACAATTTTTCTATTCCATTTTCTCATCATGCTACTTAAAAACTCAAAGCAAGATTTTTTTAAAAATTACTAATTTTATTTCTTAAAATTTTGCTAATATCCTAGATCACCACTAAATAAATTCGTTTTGGTAAAGATTAGACACATGTTTAAAACTTTAGATCGTATGATTTTGTTATATCAAAAGCGGAGTAGGAAAACACGGTTAGTTGTGAGAATCACTTCTTTATGGTTACATATACATGTTTCACATTAACTTGGAACAAAAGTAATATTCTCTCTGTTCCAAAATTATTGTCCAGTTTGGATTTTTATTTTTTTTGTACAATTTATACTGAAAATAAAATCTTATAATTAGACAATAATTTTGGGATAACTAATTTTAAGCTTCATTACCCCCACGCGAGGAACACATTATTTTTAAACAAAATAAGCAGACTAGACTTGCAGAATTCAAATGGTCCACCAATTTATAATTGTATTATATGGCTAAATCTAAACTGACTTTCTTAGCTTAAACAAAGACTTAAGTTCCACTGAAAATCTTAATAATTATAAACCCCTTCAAAGTTCAAACTAGCTACACTAGTATGCTAAATTGCTAATGACATACTACTATATAGGGATAGGGACCAGGCTTAATTGAAAATGTATATAATCCCTGGTGCTTATGACATCCACATATATACCTTAATTAATTTGCATTAGATTTTTGATATTTTAATTCAGTAAATGTGGCTGCAAATGATATTAGCAGGAGAGGAATGAGAGATGAAGAGAGCTCATATAGTAAACGGCAATAATTCGCAATTTTCTTTAAAAGATATCTTTCTCATTTCCATTGGTTATGGTTCTGTGTATAACTACACTGAATGACCTCAACCTCAATTAAATACCGGTTGACAATGTGTAAGAACTTTATCATTGGATCAAAAGGGTTTGTGACTTATGAGTTATGATTTGTCAGTTAATGTCCAATGACAGTTCTTGTAAGTTGTAAGTACTTTTTTTTGTGCTGAATGGTGATGTATATATTGAAGGAATAAGACTGCCCAACAGTTCTAGAGTCGACTTTTTTTTTTTTTTTCTTACCTATTCTTCGTACTGTCATTGGTCTTTAAGGAATTTCAGATTTGAGAATCTCGTGCAGAAGCTACCTTATAGCTAGCTGTGTTTTAATTTGAAGGACAAATTTACCTACAAAGCTTTCAGAGGCCAACATGTTACATGTCTATATGAACATGTTGGTTTGACTAGATTTTTTTTGGGGCGGTTTGCTTTGCTCTTCTTTTCCATGTGCAATTTCCCCTTAATTAGGTAGCTCATCCATTTTGATTTTTTCCCAAATGTGATCTCTCCAATTAGATTAATATACTCCCTCCGTCCCAAAATTATTGTCCAGCTTGAGATTTCACTTTTAATACAATTTGAACTAGAAATGAAAATTCAAACTGGACAATAATTATAGGACGGAGCTAATAACTAATTTGGTTTCTTTTTTTGGTTTCTTCCACTTGGGGTTAGTGATCAGAGTTTGTTTGGTAGGGATTAATTAAATTGGATTGATTTTTGGGGGGTAAATTGGTATAAATTATATGGTGAAAGAGAGTTGACTTGTGTACGATTATGGTTGGGTGCCAAGAATCACAAAAACTAGGCCACCGTATGAAACGACATTATCGGATTGGCACTACTTAACAATCCCCTCGACAGATCATGATCACGTACTCCGTAATCTATTACATTCTGTTCAAATCTCTTTGTTTTTGTTTGTTTACCATACATGTTTCCTCGCATTTTCATTAAGCACATCATCACTAGATCATCATTCCCGACTTGAATTCATATTAATCCCACAGTGATTGTGGATGCTTGATGCTTGTTATAAATGATCAACATTAGTTTTTTTTAAGGTTTGAGGCCGGTTGTTATACAAATTAATGATGAAATCAAACCGCCTCTTATTTCGATATTTTATATTTTGTGATCGACTTCGAAAGTAATTAGTCATGCCCCTATACATTTCAAGTAAACCAAAAATTAAAAAATAAAAAAGTATAAGACTTTTATTTTTATTTAATTCTTTAAATAACCTTTGGAATCTTAGGTTCTCTTACACGAAATGCAAGTCTTAGAAAAGGTAAACCATTTTTTTTTTTTGTACAGAAAAGGTAAACTATCTTAGATACACCTTAAATGCAAGGCTTTGTGGATTGAAGTCCGTATTCGAACTCAATCACTCAAGCCTTAGTTGGTTACATTACGATTTTGATTTTGAGGATCGATTAAACATAATTACATTGTCTTACGACAACAATTCAATTATTTGTTAAAATAAAACACATAACAGCCATGTGTTTATTTGTTAGGATTTGATGTGACCAATAGTTAATTGTTAAACACGACTAAGTAAGCTATAAAGAAAGACTTAAAACGTTTGTTTCAAAATTGAGGGTGATACCAAGTTTGTGTTTGTTAGGACCATTTACATTCTTTACTACACTCGTAACAATACATCACAATATACAAGAGGAAAAAGGGTAGTGGAAAAAGTAGAACAAAACCTTATCCAATGTTTATAGTTTTACGAGAAAATAAATACTCATTCAATTGCAATTCAATAGGCCCATTTAGACATACACAAAGATTAAGAAAAAGTGGTTAATATAGTTTATGTAGTTAATTTTAAATAAAAGTCCTACCACACCTTTATTAATGACTAATGAGTTATTAGTTGATATGTGAGAGTAATACTCCCTTTATTTCAAAATGTAAGTTTTTTTGACTTGAAACGTAAACTAAAGAGATAATCATCCAACAATTAATTTATGTGTTAAATATTTTTTTACTCCTCATTAATTACATTGAAACTATAAACAAGACTAAATAAAAATATTATTAGCATAATCTATTGAGGGTAAATTTGGAAAAATAGTCATTAATTTGCCTAGAATTTGTAAAACGACCTATATTTTGAAAAATCTCTTCAAATCTAAAACGACCTACATTTTGAAATGGAAGGAGTAGTTCAAATTAATTAAATGTTCTTGATTTCAATGAACGTGGGAAGGGTATATTAGAGAGTTTATAGAAAAAGTTAATTAATTGTCTTAAGTGTGACTAAGTTTTGAAACATCCCAAAAGGAAAAGTGAGCCTACTGAAATAGAATGGAGGGAGTACTAAAGTTATTGTTTTTGGTAACACAATAGTACAATACAAAGAAACTGTAGAGAGAAAAAAGAAGAAACAAAAACAATGAGATGGCAATCTGGCATTCAATTATGGGTCAGTGAGTCAGGGGGCAGACAACACGGTATGTGCAATGAAGTAACACTGAACGAAGAGCCGAATAAGGGAACCTGGAAAAGTGAAAATTACCATAAAACTGCATACTACTATTGTACTCCGTAGGTATCTACCCGGATGAAAAGATGACTTGACCGCAGTAATATTTTCCCTTTCACCAATGTGGCGTCAAATTCGACGCCTAATTTTGCTCAAAAACTCACTCACCAAAACCAAGAGAAAAAAAAAAATCACCCAGTCAACTCTGTTCACCCCCCAGGTAATAAAAATCCAATGACTCTCCAAAAAGGAGTTCTTTGCATTTTCATCTCAACCTATTGTCCCATTCATCCATTTATGCATGTCCAAAAATTCTCTCATTATTATTCAGACATTTAACATGTGTTTAATCATTTATCGGTTGGCTATGATATTTGTGTCATAATACCAACCGCATTGTAAAAAAAAGTAAAAAAATTGAATTTACTTTTCTTTTTCTTTTAACTTTCATAGTAAAGCAAAGTTTCTGCATTAGTCAAACTGACCAGTAGTGTGTCTTTTTACCAGATCCTAAAACCAAAAAAAAAAAAAAAGCCTATCATTCAAGCATCAGTCACTTTTCAAACTGACCATTCTGTCCCTCTCACAGACCATAGAAAGGCAAAAACATTAGCTTTGTCTCCCCAGTTCCCAATTTATCCAGAATTAAACACATTCTAAACTCAGACAAACTGAAACAACCCACCTTTAATTAATTACACCTCAATTTAGTTGACATAATAATTCCTATTATTAGTCACTACACTCAAGCTTGATTTTATTCCTTTAACAACCCAAACCACCCACCAAAAATAGATAATAATAATAATAATAAATGTTCACATACAAGACCTCTGTCTTTCTTTAATTTGGTAGTAAGCATTAAGAAAACAGAGCAAAAAAACAATTTTGTGGGCGGCTATACCACTCTTGAGAATTGAAAATTAAGTTATAGAGTAGTATCAAATAAGAAAACAATATGCCATAATTTATGGGGCAAATTCACAGATTTCAGCTACTGAAGAAGTAAATGAAGTTAGCTATTGAGAGGTGCCTACTAGCTAAGATATATATATATATATATATATATATATATATATAGCCATAGACCCAAGTTGCATATTATTCAATTAGGTTATGTAATTATTTTATGAAATAATGAATAGTGGAATTAAACAATATAGTATAATTCTGTTATAGAAAGGAGGTAGCTAGTATGTGGGTTATATTTATTGCTTCCCCTACTTGTGTGCTCATTAATAAGCTAAGCACAAAAGAAGCTGAGACAGTACAGAACAGAAGGTTAATAAAAAGGGTATTTTAAGTTTTTTTTAATGGTCTTTGAAATTTTACAATCAAAGGAGAATTGAATGATGTCAAACTGGCATATGCAATGCCCAGATGAAAAGGAGCAAAAGAATCTTTTTACCCAAATTAATTGAAAAATTAAAAGTACAAAAGTAAATTTTAAAAAAGAGGAATTGGAAAAAAAAAAAAAAAAAAAGAGACAAGCATAAAAATGGTCTATATGGACCAATTGAAGACTTCTTTTTGGAATCCAAATGCCAAAAAAAAAAAAAATGCAGGTTCATCATAATCATTGAAGAGAGAGAGAGAGGGAGAGAAATGAGGAGGAGGAGTTTCTTGGCATTAGAGATGATGATGATGGATTAATGGTGGACCAATTATTTTTAACAAGTTCATCATGATGAGGAATTTGGATTCCTTTGTTTCACTTTGGCATTTTCACAGACAGGGGCAGGGGGGATCACCCCCTATCACAATATGATAATTGGCCTTGAGTTAAAAGGGAAGACAAAAACACCATACTTTGAGATACTACCCTACTTTGAAGTAAGAACAAAGAACTTGATGAGCAAGAAAGGTATACATAATATGACACATTGCCACCACTTACTACTACTCAAAGATTTATTATTATTATTATTATTATTATTTTTTGGTTCCAACAATACCCCATCAAAAAAGAGAGTAGTTCTTGTTCTTTTTTATATAAGAGATTAACAGAAGGAAACAAAAAGAGAAAATCTCAACCCATAAGACAAAAATGGTCCAGAATAATAACTAAGCTAATTTAGAAGGGAGAAGAAAAGAAAAGAGCTAATTAATTTAATTTAACACACACCATTTTTTTTGGTTCGAATTAATTAATCATAAAATAATTAATTAACATCGATCTTCTTCTTCTTCTTCGTCTTCATCATCTTCTGCCAAATTTTTCACTGATGCTGCCATAACAAACCATCGAAGCATCCAGAATCTGACAACAGAACTGGCATTCCCATGTGATTTACGTTATCCCCGAAATACCCATACGATGACGTTTCGGCTCCGGCATGCAACAGCCACGGGTTGCCGTAGTCCCAGCCGGAGATCCCGTCCTCCACCGGATCGTTCACGAACACCAGCTCCTCCCTCGCCGACTCCACCGTGTCGTAGTAGCTCCCTCCAAGGCTCGGCAATTTCACAATCTCGCTCAGCTCCTCCGCCTCCTCCGCCGCGGATGCTGACGTCACGCTCGATTGCAGCGAGGAGCACGAGGGCGATGACGTCAGCGAGGAGACGCATGGCGTCATCTCCTCCTCCCGCGACGATCCCCGAGCGGCGGCGGCGTTCTTCTCCTTGCAGTTGCCGTTGGGCATTGATGAATGTTGTTGTTGATCCATGTCCATGTGAGCGGCTTTTAAGGCAGCGGCCTGGACGTCACGTGGGGAGCACGTGGCGGGGCGGGGCAAGGTCCGGGCGAGGTGGGGGAAGTTGAGGATGGCGGAGTTGCCCTTAATGGAGAGGGCGGCGACGTCGTGGGCCCGGGCGGCCATCTCCGGGGTGGCGAAAGTACCCAACCAGATCCGTGACTTCTTCTTGGGCTCACGGATTTCGGATACCCATTTCCCCCAAGCCCGCATCCGAACTCCTCTGTACACCGGGTGCTTACTGTTGTTGTTGTTGTTGTTGTTGATGCTGCTGGTACTCTCATTATTATTATTATTACTATTACAATTATCATCGTTACTATTCTGCTGATCATTCCTACTCTTGGTTCTTCCGGCGGCGGCGGCGGCGGAATCATCTCGACCCCGTTTGCGGTGGTGAGTTTTAGGAGTAGTAGGATGATCTAGGGAGGAGGAAGAGGAAGAAGAATGACTACTTGATTCGGGTTCGGAATATGGAGGGTCACCCATTTTGATCTGAGTGGATCTAATTCCCCCTAGCTAGCTCCTAGCTAAACTTGATTGATGAACTTCAAAAGGAAAGATGGATGAATTAAGTAGATCAAAACAACTAAAAATAATCTTGCAAAGTCGTTCTTCTGATATATAAGTGGGAGAGTGTGTGTGTGTGTTTGGGAAAATGGAAATGGAGTGATGACACAAATAGAAAAGAGAGGGAGTGTTGGATGATATTTATATGGGGGGAGATAGTAAGTAATGGGAGGCTCTGAGAAGCTGGAAAAGGAGAAGAGGGACTACCAGTAATAGTACTACTAGTACCTCTCCACACTCTCTCTCTCTACAGCTGACTGGTGGTGCTGATATTTAGAGAGAGAAAGAGAAGGAAAAAAGGATGTGGGACTAAGGAGAGTAATACTATGGCAATTAAGGACACAGGGACAGGGGGACCCTTCTCAAGGACCGACCCACAACCCCCCATTTTTTTTTTACCCATCATTTTTCTTTAATGCACGCATAACCCCAAGAGTGTGTGAGAAAAGAAAAAAGTTATCTTATCAATGGTGCTGTAAAATATCTATACATATCATATAGAGTGGCAATGTGGGGTTGAGAAAGAAGAAGAAGAACAAGTACTGTTGTGGGGAGAGGGGGGAAAGAAAGAAGAAAACAAGTGAAAAAAGGAGGCTTAAAACACAAGCAAGTATAGTAGTGAGTGAGTTTTACAGATGGGAGAGAGTAATCAGATAGAAGAGAACAGAGACTGTTGAAAGGGAGAGGGAAGAAAAGATGATTTTAATAGTTTGTTTCCTTTTTCTTTTCTTTTTTTTTTTCCTTTTTCTTACTTCTTCGTCTTATACAGCTGGCTTTGAATCTGACTGCCTCTTTTGTTGTTACTGGTTATGTGCCACCCGTATTTTATACATTTGTACTCCGTACTTTTTTTTTTAGTATTTCCTGTATTTTGTTTGTATATATTGTGTTGTATGTACACACTCTTTTCTTTAATTAAGTCTAGATTTTTATACTCAACTGCAAATTGGAGCAATTAATTTGTGTTCTAGTACTTCAGATCTTCAATTTCGATGATTAGTCTATCGTTAATTAATGTATATTACTCCTTCCCTTCCAATATGGGACAAATGGGAAGGGGAATACAGAATTGCTATATAGTCATTTCTTTCCCTTCTACTATATTGTTTGCAATTAGTACGTCTCCGGCTCTCCGCCCATTAATTCTTTCCTGTTCAACTGCTCAAGCTAGGCTCTGCAAGCTAACGGATTTCTGTTCTTCTATAAACATAATCAAATTTTGCTTCTTCCCTCAAAAGTTGGAGGAATATTGGCATGAGCCACATGTGAATTAGTCCATCTCAAATGGCATGATTAGAGGCACAAATAAAATCATAGCATGCCCCTGATCTTGATTTATGTTCTCTCGTCCCAAAATTATTGTCAAATTTAGATTTTCATTTTTAAAAATATTGTCGAGAATGATATAATACATCCACTTTTGAAACTATTTTAGACAATAATTTTTAGCAATTAAGAATTTCATGAGTGAGTGGGGGAAAAAAATATTCATACCATGAAAAAGAAAATACTATAACCAATACAAACTTCACGTAGTGCAGACGTAGAAGTAGACATGATTTGAATCACATATATACTACTCTTTGTCCTAGAAAAAAGTCCACATTGAATTTTCAGATTTTTGGTATAAATCTGAAAATTTAATGTGAACTATTTTTTTAAAATAAAAAATAATAATATATAACTATTTCGTCTAGTGTTGGTATTATTAACCGAGAGTATTATAATTCAGTGATGTTGTCATCAATTATCAATCAACCTTATTTAAAATGAGTTTTTTTTTTATTTTATTGAAAAGATAAAAGTATGAATTTCGAATGGCTATATCATCACTATTTCTGATTTATTATATGTGTGTTTTTTTTGAAATTTACTCGATTAGTCACTGACAATATTAATCATACTTTAGACAGAGTAGAAAGTCTATGACCATACCTAGCTAGATGTAATTGGTCCTTTTCTTATGAATCAAATCAAGTTATCTTATTATGGTAATTGGGAGAATAGAAATCAAAATGATCACACATATAATACAAGCACATCATAATGAACAAAAATGTACGTAAACTTGTCCCCTTAATTCGTTCCCATATACAAAGAGAAAGGAAAGCAAGAAACAAAAGGCACCATTATTAGCTTCATTATATCTTCTTTTCCATTTTTCTTTTCTCTTATTCTTTTAGCATCCTTCTTAGTTCACAAGTGGGAAAATGGATAGAATAAAGTGTATGAACATTCTTCCTAAGAGAAATCCAAACAATTCTGGAATTTCTTGCAATGTGTCTCTTTTAACGGCGGTTTTCGGTGTTGGATTTTAATGAAAAAACAACAAGAAAATCAAACAAAGGTCATCCGAGATCAGGTAGAGTATGTTTATATGTCAACTTATATATCTCTTCTTTTAACAAAATAGGGCAGATATAACCAAGAAGAAGATCTACCCAAAACTATATTTTATTCCATTCCCTATAAATAGTAAGTAAACAACATTTGACCTTCATCAATGGTCCAACATTAAAATACTAAGATCAAAGTACATTGAATCCAATATATATGTGAACTTAAGACCTTCATATGCTTTTACCTGTATTTCTGAGATATATATACATGGGATGGTGTCTCCATTGGAATTCTAACCCCATATTTGGCGTCATGGAGAAGAGTAAAAAAAAAAACAAAAAACAAATTTTAGGGTTAAAAAAATTTAACTGACAGTCTTCACACGAGGTGGTATTTAATGAGAGAGTTCATAAATACAAATTTTGAATACAAAACGAAAGAGCTAGGAAACTAATTAAAGACAACCCTTTTTATTTCTTTATTTTGTTACCAAAATGGGATGGGTTCCCATGAGAAGCTTTCTAGCATCGATTCTGCATTTCCTTAAATTTATTTCTTTGTAACTTAAAAGTACGACGACCTTTCTATTTTATATGTAAATGGTTAATTATTGCATTGGGCTCACAACCATTTTCTAAGCTAAGAGAAGAAATTTCAAATATTCTTTTGTTTTTCTAAACTTTTCCCGCTTTGGTTAGTTTAGATCGATGCCTTACATACATAAATTGTTTCAATAAAAAAAAAACCATGTTCCTAGAAGCTTTTATGATCGATCATATGTAGCAGTAGTGTAGCTTGGTACATGAGAATTAATTGACATCATGTGAATTTCGCCAGTCACTTCGTGTGATTTCATTTTCTTCCATGCACGTCCAACAATATTTAGTACATGCACTTTCGAATTTTCACCATGACACAGTGGTTTTCACCCCTTCATTAAATACGAGTCTATGTTATTTGCTCGATATATTCCAATCACGTATAGCATTTCCAATAGAATTTGATCTTTTGCTCTTGCTAGTCCGAAATGGTTAAAGTAAATTATCACTTGTTTATGGATTTTAAATTTTATTTACAAGTTATACACTTTGACATACATTGATATGAATCGGATAACACTCAAGAGAAATTAACTAGGTAGGTCTCAAGATGTGACTCTATAAATTGCAAAGTACAGTATATATCATAATAAGTAACGTATAATTTATTTCATTATTATTTGATATTTTTTCTAGAATATATAAGAAATGGATTAGTTCAACGAGATGCAAACCTTGTTTTAGTAATAACAACAATCCACCCTTACAACCTCATTCTATTTGTTATTTGTTTCTTTATGAATTTAATCATATGAAAGAGCGTATTTGGATGAAATTTTGTTGATAAATAGATAGATGTTTTTAGAACAAAATACATTGAATGAGTTTTTCGGTATATAATTATTTTGGTACAGACAGTGTAGAAGTTACAAACAATGTTAACATCATATATATTTCATGTTTTCCCCAAGTCGTACTTATTCGTTGGTATATTATTTAAAATTATACTATATTTTTCCCTTGTGCTAGACCGCTTGGATTGAATTATTCAGTTGAAAGGTTCTGACTTCTGATCAAGATCGATACAAGATGGATTAAACCTAATTTTAGTCTACTCGTCAACAAAAAGATGCCACGTAGATGATGAGTGGAGGGGCAATGCGTTGTTGGACAATTGCCTACTGATCCGGTTTTGACCCAAGTCCTCAGGATTTGGGCTGTGTCCAACTGGCCACACGATTAATCCGACCATATTTCTACAAGCGCGTAATTTCTTAAAACCATCAAAGAGGTTTACTATTGCATTTGCACACTATTCTCTATTTTTTTCATTTTAATATTTCACTTTGTTTGATTATAATAATAACAAAAAATTACAACATTTAAAAAGAAGAAGGATGGTCGATCGGACGATAGAGAATTATATCTATTTTTTTCATTTTAATATTTCACTTTGTTTGATTATAATAATAACAAAAAATTACAACATTTAAAAAGAAGAAGGATGGTCGATCGGACGATAGAGAATTATATTTCAAATATGTCCAAGAGCATGGTTCCTTAATTACTTTCTGTGTTCTTTTCCCCTTAATCCGACTGTGAAGATGAGTGACAATTAATCCCATATTAGTAAAAGAAATTTAGGAAATGTTGTATTCTTTTTTTTTACCTTTAAAAATTCACCACATTGGACCCCATTTAAATATGGATAAATTACCCTACACTCCTTGGTGGGAATCGAACACTGGTCTATTACCAGAAAGGACAACAACCTAACCAGCAAGGTGTCATTCAATTCTCAAATAACGAAGGTGATAATTATTTCAAAATGAAAAACGATGAATTTATACGATTGAATGGAAATCGTCCATGCATATAGAAGGACGAAAACAATCTAACGTACAACTGAGGTTGACATATTTACATATAACATTTCTGACCTCAAGTTAAAATGTCAATCGATTTGAGCCAAAGAAGCATTTGATAGACAGGGAATAAGTTAGGAAATTATACGATTGTACGAGTTTTAAGAAACGTGAGCTGTGTAGGGAACCAAATGCTGCTTCCTATTCAAGCTGTGTGGTTTGGAGCTATTTGAGTGATTAAAATTCATTATTTATTACGGTCCCCCTCGTCTTTTGATCGTACAAATTTTCACATAATTGAAGGACCCAAAGAAAAATAAAATGGATAGAAATTGGGGCTATTTATTTCTATGCATAATGCTATGCTTCAATTGTTGCTACACTTTGAGTTCTTATACCATTTTAGCTTAGCAGTTAGACCGGTGTGATTGACTATATGTGTATTATATGTATTTAACTTCGCCAATCACCAAGCCGCAGTGCTATGCGAAGTACACTATCAAGGAAATAGCATATTATTCCTTGTTGTATAATTTTTGGCTAGTAAGGTGGCCATAAAAGTTACCGAGTCATGTGTGAATTTATGAAATCTGTTAAGGTGTCTTAAATTAAAGCTGCTTTGTACTAGAATTTGAAGTAAAAAAAAACAAATTTTGATGAATATGAATTTTTTTCTTTCTTTTTGGGGGGTTTAGACATGGATTCTTGTATCATCTTTGTTTGAACCCCATCTATGATACCAAAATTAAATCGATGTTGGGTTGTTTTCTGTGATTTATTTGTGATTGAATGTTATTGAAAAGTTCATTATGCAAATCGATCAAGCTACTTTCATTTGAGATTTTGAGATAATTCTTTCAC